AAGTAATCTCAGCTTATTTCATTTCTCAAAACTAAGGCATTCTGCCAGAGTGCAAATCTGTGTGAGTATTGCTGGGTGAATAACAAACTAACAACATAACAATAACTATATAATCACATATTTGCGAAGAGCATAGACCCATTACAGGCAAAGTTTAAAAATTGAAAGCACTAATTTTTTCTCAATTTCTAGCCATCAGAAAAGTGCAGCAAGTGCATATATAAATACCTGATGGGGAGGTTATATGCGTGAGCAAGTGGGAACTCAGAATGTTTTTGAACTGAGATACGATTATTTTCGTTGGGATTTTGGATTTTTTTTTCAATTGTCGAATTTGGATGCAGATCAAGCTTCGTACGAACTTTTAAACACCATATTGTAGAGCCTGCTTTGATTTTTGAATGGTGCCCCGCATTCCATTTTTTGAGAAGAACGGACCTATGCTAGTAAAAAGTCAGATATGAAAAGACGGTTGTAGTACAAGCAGTTACAGTTGTAGTATAAGCATTTGGCAAATTGCGAAATGGTAAAAAAAAGCAGAAAACCGAAAACAAGTCAAATAGAGTTCCTTTTCTTCCTTGCAACCTTACTGGATATTCTGAAAAAATACAAGGGGCGATACTAAGTATCCGTGATAGGCGTAAGGATTAGGTGCGAAGTAAGCGATTGTATACAAGTTTTCTCACCCTCTTCCTTTGCAGTGATAATCTGTAAAACAGCGAAAGAGTGTTTATACTCGTAAAGTAATCCCTTGCGCCCTTCCATTTCTTTTGGTGAGTTCAACAAGTTAATCTCTAACAACATCAGGTTGGAAAGGCTTTATTTATGCTCAAAAAACGGCTTCAATTTTTCACAGTTTAGAAAAATGTTTATTATTTTTATTTTGCGCAGTTTTTATCAAGTTGGCACATGAGTTTTGCAACTTTTTTGTAACTTTTCTCTTTTTGATTGTAACGCATCCAATTTTATCATAATGTAGATAGGTAGTAGGCAACAAAGAAGCGCAAACAGCCTGATTTTTTTTCAATAAACTGGAGAAAATTCACTCATTTTTCGGAAGCTGGTCACAATCGAAATTTCAAGGGTCAAAAAACCAAAGATAAAGCCGTTCTTAGTTCGAATCAAATACATCAGGCCGAAATTGTACCCAGAATGTTAATGGAGGAATCTCTAATCATCTACACAGTTTCGGCTCGATTTCTTTGATTCAGGCTAAGAACGGCCTTATTTTTGGCTTTCCGACCTTTGAAATTTCGGATCTGGCCATATTTCAAAAAATGCGTAGATTTTCTTTATTTCGCCACCAAAAATCAAACTGTTGGCGAAGTATTGTAGCCTACCATCTATTCTACATTATGCACAACAATGAATTCGTCACAATCAAGAAGAAAAAGTTACGTAAGTTGCGATTATGTGCCAATCTATAAGTTTACATCACGCTTCTTACATATTATGCCAGAATAAAAGAGCGCTATGTCCACAAGGAGAAAAATTATGGAAGAAACTGCAAACTTATGTGTCAACCTAACAAAATTCTTGACGTCAAAGGTTCTTGATAGAGTTGCTTTCGTACTTATTATCGTTCTTGATTATCCTAGATTGGAAAGTTTTAACGTCATTATGACCTTGTTAGTATATCTACTCAAAGTAACCATCTTCGGTGAGAAAGTAGTATACGAAACTCAGGAATGCCAGTGATTTAACAGTTTTAAAAGTTTCTAATTAGCGCTTAATGTGAATCTGAGCTCTTTGATGCAAACAAAACTCTTGCTTCACTCCTCCTTCGGGTGCTCTGAATCTCTTTGAGCTAGAAATGTGGCATTTCCAAGAAGTAAAATGCTTATTAAGCGACCCGTTTTAGGATAAAAGGATAAAGGATTCGGCGCCTTCAATACCCTTTTAGGGCATGCGCCGAACGCACACACTAACTTCATAGTCGAAGAGGCAATTGTATGCGTGCGAGCCTATTACAGTGACTTGCGGGGGCCAGCCGTTTTCAAGTCAGTGCTTTTATCCTCCCAGATAACTCTGGTACCAATTTACCAGCCCCGGAGGGTAGAGGGCTTGGTTGGCCCAGGGGCGGGGATCGAACCTGCGTCCGATCTGGTCATAGCGGCGCCTCATACCACTACGCCACTCGTCCCCTAGCGACCCGTTTTGAAGCCAGAAAAGTTGTAAAAAATGTAAATGTCAACGATGGATCAAACTGCTCGAAAGCTTGAAAGTATTCGCTCTTGCAAGCATGATGCCAACGATATGCATGTATACTTTAAAATCTATCTGATTATTGCTAGACAAATAACGCGGCTGATATCAAAAGAGAATTATGCAACAGTTTTTAGTCAAAAAACCAGTGAATTTGTGGCCTACTTCAATCATAGATGCCTTGAAAGAGTTGGGCAATATGTTTCTATTCGAAATAGTATCTCTAAAGCGTTGGCCTGCGATAATAAGATTGCTTTTGCACCGAATATCCTAGTTGGTAATATAAGCTTGGAAATACGAACATGTGAAAATTCAAATCTGTCAAAGGTTGTACTAGTCTAGACATATATAATAAGCAGCATACCATCGTCAATTGCCTTTATGGGTGGAAAAAAGCTTTCGATGGTGGCCAATCAGGTGCTGAAGCGGACTATACGGCTAATGCGTGGCACTAATGTGACTTTTATGTTTTTCCCATCGTTTTCGGAGCAACATTATCACGTTAGCTGTCGCTGACATGTATTTCATATAATATCACTGGGAAGAAATAAAACATCAGAAAATTTCATAGAGGCTATTTCCACCATCACTTTATCACTTAACACCTCTCATTTCCATGTAATCATTTGAATAGAAATGAGAGGTAATATGTGATAATGTGCAGGTAATAATTTACCTATTCTTACTATTGTTTCACCGCATTACCGACTAGAACAGAGTCAGGATCAGGAGTAGTCCATGTTTTGAAAAGCCATTTTCGGTGCCCAGCTTACTGCCCTGATTCTTTCGCGCCTCTCCGCCGAGACCAATAGTGCAGCTAGTAGTTACGTCTTCGGAATAAGATTGGATGGGCTTGATTTGCCAAGGATCGCTGATCCAAATTAGCGGTGCATGGCACCTCTAGCCTCCTGCAGCTGCTTTCCAATCTCAGAGTTACATTTATGTGCTTGAATTATGCCATATGGAGGATTACTGCTCGACAATGGCTTTGTTTCCATCTTTTCCGTTTTTGTTCACATCTGAGGGTCACATTTTAGGTACCGCTTGCTGCTTGCCTGGCTTAGATGGGCGTCAATTCATGGCTTTGAATTACGGCTCTCTCTCTTTCCTTAGTTTCCTGTTGTTCTGCAATTTTTCACTCGATGGTTTTTGCTTTCTTGAAAGACATTTTCTCAAGAGATGTGTGAGGCCTTGCAAGTGTGGAATGGGTTAAGTTTACTCATCCCAGTTTTAGGCTCTTCTGCTGTTTTTTTTTTCAGTTCGTCTGTGTTGGCTCGCATCTTGTGGCGTAACTACTGACGATGCTGCGTTATGTTGCGTTGAGTGGTGTTTCGCTGCGTGTTCTTTTCATATGGTCTTTGCAGCATTTGATTACTTTTAGCTCTTGTCTTTTGTTCACGAATGCAATCCTGCAGTTTTTTTTGTTTGTTTTGTTGCTAACAACCTCAAACACGTCTTGTCTAATGTTCGATACCAGCCGTATTATCCCAAATAGATCTTTTTATCGAAGATTTTTCTACTAGCTTTAGACCTCGTGCACTGGTTCGCGTTTATCCGTTGTTTGGATGTGTACAGGTTCCATTCTTATCGAACAGTTTCACATTTGAATCTTGTTCTCCCTCAAAATAAATTATTTTTGGGGTCTGATCAGCTAGCTTTTACCGGGGGCTGGTTGGCACCCAAAAATGGGTTCATTGTCGTTTTGAGGGTAAAAGATTCTTGAGAGGTTTTCTGATATTGCGCTTGTTTCTTTTTTCTTTTGTTGGGTTCTAGAGCTTCGTTCTTTTATCTACTTCTTTTTATACTACTTTCCCTTGAGGATGAGGAGTGGCTGGCCTCCTGTCTCTTTTTGGTTTTTTTTCTGTTTTTCCTCTTTGATGCACCTTGTGCGTATTTATAAATAAGTAAATGAATAGATACGCTGATTTCAAAACCGTATTCGTAATCTGCGGAACGACATTTCGAGAGAACCGTATTTTCCCTTATCTGGCGTGTTTGCACAAGAGTACGAGTAATTTCGATACGTGCTAAATGTGTCGAATGGTCTTGTGGGTAGCGCTGTCGATTGTTGCACAATTGGCGCCCATTTAATCTCTATTTTTGTGCTAGCGCCAATTCTTCTTGAAAAACGTTTTGCAGCTAACGAAGATAGTTTCGAAATTAGCGATTTGAGGCAAGCAGTGGATGTATATCCAGAAGGCTACGGTCACCATTGTTCTTTTCTTTTGAAAAGAGTACAATTAAGGACCAAGTTTCGTACAGTGTTTACGCTTGAATGAAGCTCTTAGTTGTTCTACACTGCTTGTTTGGCTAACTATGTTATAACAGCTCCGCTTACAATGCACTCAGCCATGTTTCAAAGTTTACTCCGGTCTAGTTGATATCAGGCTCAGAATATCCTTATAACTTCTCTTCAATAAATACTAGCATAAATCACGCACTCTGTACTAAATAAGAAACGTTTCAAAAACTCTGTGATAAATAAATTGTTTTGCGCTATCATGATCAACTACATGCACTCACTATTTAGATGTAGCAGTGTCGGCCTCAGTTACATACTCCCTTTGGCGTAGGAACGCATCGCAACGCGAGAGCCTTGCATGCGGATTCCCAATCGATGGGCCAGTTGGAATGCTCAAGCCATCGCGCGCGAAGGTGGCACGACGCTCTAGCGTGGCGATTTGTTTTACGAAAAAGGAGCACTGATTGACAAAAACTATAGACTGTACTTTAAAAATTTGAAATTACGCTTTAACCAATTTTTCTTGCTGTAGTTCTGCACATATAAATTTGAATCACTTTCAGGAACATGAAGTTTATTATTGTTGTTCTCTACCTTATACTGTTTTGTCCGCTAGCTTTTAGTGGACTAGCACCATGCCAAGCCCGTACAACAAATGTCTATCTCAACAGCGTGGCCTGCATCGAATTTTGTAGAAGAATGGTAAGTTTTACTGTCAACTAAAGGCCATGGGCAGTGTTGATAAGAGCTGCAAGTTCAGCGTCTAGGTGATATTTGTGAAAATTGTCTTGACCTTGCAACATTTCTTATTTTAAGTGCGATATTGATATTCTGGCCATTTATGCTTGCGCGCATGCTCATGCTTCACATCTGGCTTGTACATTGTGAATGATTAATCGTTTAACTGCTTGTCAGTTGAAATGAAAAATACACTTAGAGCAGCGCGTTTATATAAAAAAAAAAGTATGAAGAATTTATGTTGAGAGGAACGCGGTAAAGTTCATGCGTACTTAAATACGTACTCTTCGCGCTTTTTCAACGTTCAGAATTACCTACCTTCCAACAATTACCACCATCTCGCTTCCCTAGAAGTACTCTTGTATTCATTTTGCCGTGATAGATATCTTGTTTATGGCCAAGCCTGCTTAGCGTTACGTCTAAAATTTTACGCTCTTCTCTTCTCTTCGCGTTGGAAACAAAGTGAACAGGGTCAAGCAAGGGGTGTGGCACACGATCGCTGATTACGACCCCCCCCCCTTGATTGCTGTCTTAATAAGACCCCCCCCCCTGAACTATACACTTAAGATAGCATTACTTGAAGGCCCTGTCAAACACAATGGGCAACATATCCATAATTAGCATGTCAAATAACGCCTGTAGACGGAGTGTGAGCGAATTCTGAAGATTCAAGATACTAGGCTACCTAAGTGAAATGGTCATTTTCCAACATGATCAACTTTGTTTCAAAGGTGAATTAGCTATACGTTTTTGCACTCAAGACAAAGCACTACTCCTTCTTTGTCCATCCCAGACCCGCTTCAAAAGACCCCCAAACTGTAGAATTAGAAACCAACCAAAATCTCATTTTTCCCATTTTTCGCTTTTAATGGCTGTGTTTTCACCAAATATTACTCAGAGCTAAGAAAACGAATCGGACTCAAATCACTCCTGTAAAAACTAGGAGATCTAGGGGTGGAGGACATTAGGTCGCCGAAAAAGGGCGGTCCCCGCGGTCATTTGCAACAAATACGCACCCTTGCACATACGCGGGCATGCGTTCCTGCAGGGAATCCGCGCGGGACTCTTCCAAATTCGGCGACCTAATGTGTTCCACCCGGAGATCTAGGCTATCGATACATATAAATACGGTTTGCTAAAAATGTTTTTATGACACAGTTAATGGGGTGCGGCACACCCCCTCAAAAGCTGCGGCCGCCGCAGCTTTTAAGGGGGTGTGCCGCACCCCATTAACTATATCAAAAAAAAATTATAGCGGACAGTATCTATATGAATCGATAGCCTAAACCTTGTAGATTCCACGACTGTTTGGAGCCTGATTCTTCTTCTTAGCTCTGAGTAATATTTGGTGAAAGCACAGCCATTAAAAGCGAAAAATGGGAAAATTGAGATTTTGGTTGGCTTCTAATTCCACAGTTTGGATGTCTTCTGAAGCGGGATTCCTGAGGTGGACAGAGAAGGAGTAGTGCTTTGTCTTGAGTGCAAAAACGGATAGCTAATTCACCTTTGAAACAAAGTTAACCATGTAGGAATTTGACCATTTCACTTAGATAGCCTAGTATCTTTAATCTTCAGAATTCGCTCACACTTTCTACAGGGGCTATTTAACATGCTAATTATGGATAGCATACGAATATCATGTTATCACTATTATCAGATTACCCAACTCGACCCCCTCCCCTTTTGACTCCTCAATACGCCCCCCAGGTGTGGCGTGCCGCACCCCACGCTTGACCCTGAAGGTGAAGTCTAGCAAAGAGGTATGCAAATTAGGGCGAATGATCAGCATTTGATTTTGCCTAAACCGTTTTACAACAAACTAAATGTGCTGTCCACAAACTTGACGTAGTGTCCCGTTTTCTTTCAATGAATTAGAGTTCAACTACTGTTGAACCTTTGAAGCCACTGAAATTGGCGATTGACTGCTCGCAGGTCTCGAAAAAAAGTTTTTTATGCAGGATAGGCAGTCTTGTAGGTTTTTACCTGCTTGACTGCAACAAGTTGTCCAGAAACAGTAGAGGAGCTCTACTCAAGACATACAAAGCTATTTGCGGAGGCCCCACTTCATTTACTTCATTCGCTTCAACAATGCGGTCTAATGATACGCATTTGGCTTCTTAGGATGATATCTTATATATAAAGCTGAATGTGTGTCTGTCTGTACGTACGTATGTGCGGAATAGAAATTTCTATTTCTGAACCGATTTGGACCAAACTTGGCACACATATACTTCGGGGCAGGAAGCGTGTCATAGTCTACTTTTCGTTATCGATCGATATCGATTTTATCGATTTTTCGCAAAATTTGAGCTACAGGCTGGGAGTTGGCACAGCGGGTAATCGAGCATGCTGATTACAAATATATTATTGACAGGCCCGGGCGGAGCCGGGTTTGCCAACTAGTGGATGCATATAACTCAACATTCTTCATGCTGCAGAGTTTCGAAGTCTCCTTACCATCAGTATTGAGATCTCAGCGAACATTTCAAGGGTACAACTCACAAAGTGCACTAAATGCATTTTAGTGTATGAAGAGCAAAATTTTTATAGTACGAGACTTAACACAAAACCAGTTTTCCTTTTTATTGCAAGGCAAAATTAACTCTCTGATGATAGATTCTTTATCAAAAGAGTTCTTTTTTTACCTAAGCAAAAACATCAGCATTGCGACTTTTTTCAACATCTTATGAGTTATTACCTTACATGAAACGCTTTCAGGGCGGGAGAAGTGGAAGCTGCGATTCTGGCATATGCGTTTGCAGAGGATAGTTATGGAGGAAGTTCTCTTGTAGAATGACTTCGAATAAAGCATTTTTAACGTTTTATGAGTACAGAATGCTCGTATTTATTGCTTGAAAATCACTCATAATTACCAAGCGATTTCATCCCTTTTGAGGGTTGATATAGTTTGCTTACAGTTATCTATTAGGCTGTTGACTAAGTTTTGCAACTGCTTTTATAACCTTTCTCTCTTTGTATATGAAGCACTAAATTTTGCTATTTTGTAGGCTATAACGTAAGCTACGAGTTCAGCCAGTTCTGCCGAATTCTGGTGTCGCATTGAGAGTTACGGTAGGCATATGGTATAAGGGCAAAATTTATATATTATTTACAATTTTGGCTGACACTTGGCATATTAGGGCTATTTTTTGACATGCTGATCAAACGATAGTGAATTTGCATCGTAGGGGCTTTTGTGAGATGAGTGTGGTTATGGAGTCTCACCCTAAGCAAGAAAAGAGGCGTCAATTCAATTGCTAAATATGATATTTGTGTTTGACAGGTCAAATAACCTTACCATGCAAAGTTTCAGCAAATTCTCAGATTCCGACCTTTTAGTCACAGGCGCTCGTCCCCGGCTGCCTTGCGTAGAGCGGCTCCATCAACTTTTTGAGGCACCCACGACTTATCTACGAATTGCAAAATTTTTTATTGTGCTATATAAGTCGACCTCTAACATCAATTCATACAATTCAGAATCGTTGTGGCTGATCTAAGTTGAGAAAAGCTTCATTTTTACTCATAACCTTATAAACCCTCGACTTTTACTAGCTTTCAACAAGTCTTTTGATTTGTTCTATCTTGTCATTATAGTGCAAGCTTTTTGTTTGCACCAGTTTATAGCCCACGCGACATTCTATACCATATCAAAAACTGAGCACGCCAAAATCAAGAGCGAAAAGTTACGCACTCAATTGCAAAACTTAATCAACAGCCGAATAATACGCTGGCCAGAACAGCGACAAAAGCGTTTTTTTTCGAAATTCGAAGAAAAAACTTTGGAGTATTTGAACAATACCTTCTGTCCAAAATACTCATACTAAACGCTGCTCTATTTGAGCGCTGAAAAAACCGTAAAATTTGATTTACGGTCTTAAGATTATATGACCATTTTTCGAACTAAGAAATTATTCATAACTCTGCATGCAGAGGCGCTCGGCAGAAATTAAAAGCAGATTTGGAATCTCCGTTTAATGCTCTTCAAAGTGACATAAGGCTCACTTGGAAAGGCCACTTTGACTAATCGGACCTCCCTTGTTATTTTTTAATGCCTTCTGCAGATTTTTACTTCCTACTCGTAATTTCTGTGTCGCGCTACATTGTCGGTTTTGTTATGATCATGATTTTAAGCAAATATGGCCCCAAGTTCGCAACAATTTGTTGTTTACTAACTTTAATAAAGAGACCTATGGAAAAAAACGCACTTTTTGCGCTTTTTGCCAGATATTCCAATTCCACCGAAGAAGTTAGCCCCGCGACTTTGTCTATAGTCTACTTTATAAACACAAGCGAGATTTCAAGAAGCACAAAAAAAAAACGCTTGAAAAGGAACAAATTCTTGTTAAAATAAAAATGGGGTTGTGCGACTCGGTCAGCATGAAAGTAGGGGTTGAGATCTTGAATATGATGTGCGGTTTGCTGCAAATACGTTCAGAATAACAAAAAGGGTACCAGAGTCAAATGCCTCGCGCCCCGCTTTTGGTAATGAGGTAGCGCGCAACACGCGGAGGTGCAGACGAGCAGAGGAGGAAGACCAGAGCGGACCAGGGCTCTGTAGAGGAGGCGCTTTCCTACGCTGGATATCGTTTTCTGGGGAGAAGCAAAAGGAAATCGTAGAGTTCTCAAAGGCGATTCCCGGATCTGATAGGATAACAAGCATATTTCTAACACATAATAAGTCCGAATTCGAGGCTCTAATGGCATTCAAACGCCAACAGGTCAATTAACATGTCCAAACACGACAAGTGCACCAACTTGTTTTCGCCAACTTTCAATTCTCAGCTCGTTGAATGATGCACAAAAAGATAAACAATCAGTCTGTTTAAACAACTAAACTGATCTTTGACTTTGAATTGCTGCCAATGCATGTTTTGGAACACCGCCAAATTTCATAACGAGCGACCGAAGGGAAACGGCCCTTTTGAGCCGCTCGCTATCACAGCGCGCCTCTGATTGGTCAACATGTCCACTGCCATAACGAATTAATACTCGTTCATTTTTGTACACCTTTCGTGTCCAACATGATGATAGGTTTTGGCATAGGTATATTACATACTTCGAACTAAGAATTTTCCCGTTGACTGTGAATGCGATTTGTTAGCTTTGCCAGCGGCGCCGCACGCGGCGAGACAAGCGTCGCGCGCGAAGGGTTCAAAAGGGCCTACACCCGCGACCGAACAATGTTTTCAAAGAGTCACACCAATTCGAAACTCAATTCTGAGCGATGAGAGTTGCAGTGGCTTTGATCGGATCTTCAGCGCCCGGGTGCCGTCACGACGATTTTGCGCAATTTAAGTTTTGTTGGAAAGCGTAAAGCATGTAGTTTCCAATAGTCCCCTGGAGACTTTCCAGCATGTACAGATTGCAGAGATAAAAATGAAAGAACGAAAACATCCGAAATTCGGAATTTTTGAGAAACAATTCCAAAAATCTAGAAACTGCGCGATAAAATCCAGAAAAGCCATTATTCTAATTTTTCTTATATTTGATTACTAATTGAGTTAAGTGTGTGCTGATCGAGTTCTTCTTTCAAAAGTTATGATTTTTTGAATAAAATTCCGAAAAATCACTTTCCTAAGAATTCCTAAGAAATTGATTTTTCGGATTTTTTTTCAAAAAATCATAACTTTTCAAAGAAGAGCTCGTTCAGCACAAACTTAGCTCAGTTAATAATCAAATATAAGAAGAAATATTAGGATAATGCAAAATCATTGTGAGTGAAAGAAGTTATGATTTTTTAAAAATGTTGCGAACGAACTTTCGTTTCAACCTAATATTTTTTTCATGCTTGCTATTTCAAAATGTGTTGGTCAAGTATATTGTGATCCAAAAATATATTATATATAGCATTAAGTATCAAGAAACACAATACTTATTCTTTCATCAAAGTAATCAAATAAGCTCAACCTTAGCAGTTGCTTTCCGATAGTGCTTTTTACGCTTTATCCATACATATGCAAATTGCTTGACTTTTCTCATTTTCAAAAGATTGTGGGCCAAAATATGAATTTTAATCTGCGCCAAACACCGCACTTTTTCGAATAAAGTGCCTTTTTTGTATGAACTACTGAACAATTTCAGAAAATTCAAGTAATCATTAGAAAGAGCTTGGAAAGCTCTTTCGAATGGTGTGCCAATGGTATGTCGAGGGACTTTCAGGTGCAGCAGCACAAATTCGGATGGCGTTCAAAAAAGTCTGTCTGACTTCTCTAAAGCGCCGCTCGAAGGAATGTCGGTGAGGCGTTGCAAGGTGCTGTCAAGATAATCTGCGAAGGTCACTTTATACAAAAGTGTTCAAATTGCTGGTTGTTCATAGCTAATCGGAAAGAGATCTTGAAGAATGTTTAGAAAATCAAGATGCCCCATTACTTTTAGATCACCCTAATAATATACATCACTGTTATGGATGTTCTCCTACTTTAGAACGATGTGTATTCTATTAATTTTCTAACAATCCATGAAATTTGTAGAGAAAAACACGACGAAGCAAATTTTTTCGAGAAGGTAGGAGGGTGGAATCTTTTTATTCTCCGAATGAGTCTCCGTGAGAGGAGGGTGGGGAGGGAGGGGGGGAATTTGCAGAAAAGCGTGGTAATTAAATTTTCCCTTGATGTTGCGAAAGAAAGGTTTCCTTAATCTCGTTGGTTATGGCAGGGCTTTCGAAAAGTGCTGGTTGATTTGTGAAGTTTATTGCTTCTTGAGCGGTTCTCCTTTTGAAATGCTTCTTCACAAAAAATCTTTGCAGAAAGGAGGAGGAAATTTTATGTGGAGATATTTTTAGTCACCACTGAACCTAATTTTGTAAATGTTTGCAGAAAGGAGTAGGAAACTTTATGTGGAGATATTTTTAGTCACAACTGAACCTGATTTTGTATCTGCCCCGACCCACTTGCTAGCGACCCGTAGGGTCGCTAGTTTGGTGTATAGCTTTGCAACGATGAGACAAAGATAAGTATAAAAAATTATGAAAAAATTGAAAAAATTACGTGAATGAAGGAAGCTGCAAGTGTTTTTCTTTTCTAGGTTGCTCTCTGAGGAGAGACCAAACAAAGTCATAATTTAATCACTTTCTCGCCGAATTTTCCTGAAGTCTTTAAATAAAACTATTCTTCAGCTCAAACTCTATCTACGAGCACTCACATTAGCCCAAGTTTCGATCCCACTGCTCCTAAGATAATTAGCCACGAAAAAAACTTTCTTTTTTCGCCTTCTGTTGTTTTATCCCTAATTTTCTGGTTTTTCTCAATTTTATCCACTCATCGTTTGCTGCGGATTACAAGCCGTACTTCCACAAATCCACAAAAGGTTATTCGTAATTTCTGCAGTGCCAAAGGGGGCTTCGTTTCTAAAACTCCCAAATGCCACCTCGTGCTGATCCCTGGAGCGGATGGGGCTCCAGGGATCAGCACGAGGTGGCATTTGGGAGGTTTGCCTCTGGTCGTAGATCTCTACGGAGTCTCGAAGAAACCCTGCAACGTACATCGTTCTGGTAATCACGACACACGTGTGGGAGCACTGACGTCGCCGGCAAAAGTCGATCTTGAGGTTTTGTGCTTACCGGGCCTGTTCGCTATGTTGAAGCCGAAAATTCACACTGGAGCGCGAAAACGGCGAAAATCTAGCGCTGGAGGAAAATCAGCAGGTGAAAGGGTCTCCCTCACCACAAATTAACGCTCCCAGCTTCCAAAGCGATCCTCTAAATTCTGCTAGCCGCCCTGACATGACCCGTCAAGTGCGAGCGCGTAACTTGATTCGCAACGGAGATCGTTCTGGAAGCTGGAAGCACGAATCTACAGTAAGGAAGACCCCGCACACCTGCGTT